AGAGGTGTAGAGAAAGCTGCGTTTACCTGGTAGAGCTTTGCTGGAGGAGGGGCTGAGTGGGGACTTCTACAGACAGGCTAGACATCAGCTGCTGCAGGCAGATAGCCCCCATCTAGGGTCTTTCAGTGCTACAGCTTCCCCCTGTGGGGTACAAGCAAGCCACAGCCCCTCTGATGGAGCTGCACTTGTCAGCATTAAGATGTGTCAGGTGACACACATGCCTTAGCTGGAACAGATACAGAAGTACACATTGCACAGCATCCTCCTCCTCCCCCCAGGACTTCAGGGCTCTGCTCAGGCTGCCTGCAAACAAGCCCTAAAGAACAAGAGCTCCACCACTTGCCCAGATCCCAAACATCAGGGAGGATGGCCTTTTCCATCAGACTCCATTAAAAAAAAAAATTCAAATTAAAGCAGTTTATTAACATTTAAAATACTGTACAGTGTGTAAGCTGAATCCCCCCCCCAACAGCCCTGTGCACTCATCGGATGCCCTGGTGAATGATGCTGCTTTTGGCACTGTTTGCTTTCTCTTTTTCCTTCTTCTTTATGGGGTCCATCTCAAAACAGCGCCAGAGCCGCAGCGTTTCATCAGCAGCTGCCGAGGCCACTGTTGCACCATCAGGGCTCATAGTCAGGTTCAAGACTCTGGCAGTGTGACCTGAGGAGGAGGTGTGCAGTCAGGGCTGTGCTGATCACATGCCCTGGTCTCTCTGGATCTACCATAATGGTCACCTTTACTCTTGTATGCCCCATGAGCCCCACCAGCTTCCATAGCTGTCCCCACACCATGCTGCAGCAGCATGAGTTCACACCCTAGGCATGCACTTGGAGCAACGGTGTTTCTTCAGCAGCCCACAGGAGTGCCTCCCTCTAGCAGCGTGCCCTTGGACACCATTCTGCACCAGCGATGCTCCAGGCTAGACCACCAGTCTGCTCAAACCAAGGATTACATCTGCCTTCAGCAGCCCTCCCTTCCCCAGGCAAAGGGCCCAGCCTACCTCGCAGCTCAGTGACCTTGGCCATCGTTGGATACTTCCATACAACCAGCTGATTCTGTGCAAAGCCATGGCCTGAAATGAATTCCTTGTAGTTTGTTGACCACAGGATAGAACAGACCTGGGAAGAGGCAGTAACACAGGTAAGACAAGCTGCTTGTGCTGATGCTCACCACCCAGAGATGAGCATGGTCCACTCCCTTCCCATGCCTCTGGGCCTCACAGCCAGCAGCTCTGTATAGGTGTCCTGCCAGAAGGTGTTTATCTCCAAGCTGATGTTCATGTCTCACCTGGGAATGTGCATCAACAGCACTGAGGCAGGCGCCAGAACACACATTCCAGATGCGGATATGTCTGTCACTAGTCCCACCTCCGGTGGCTAGAACATTTGACTGCCATGGACACCATGCCACAGCCTGAAAGAAAAGGGTTAATTCTAAGTCATGCAAGAGGCAACCTGTGCACAGCCAGTGCTGCATGTCTGCCTTGCACACAGACATACTCACACCTCACCCAGAGCAGCCCTGCACTCACCTTGACAGCACCCTGGTGTTGTGTGAAGGTCTGTACAGGAGCAAAGTCCCCACTGTCCCCCTGGGTACACGGCCAGATGTTCACCAGGTTGTCATTGCCACCACTGGCTAGGTAGCGGCCATCCAGAGACCACTTGAGCCCACACACCTCCTGCGTGTGGCCAGCAAGTGTGGCCACGTGATGCTCAGCCACTCTGACATCATGGTGGTGGATGTGGCCAGTCCGTGCCCCACTGCAGAGAGAAGGCTTACAGGGTCAGGCTAGCACGTATTTTCACCAAAATACATTTTTGTGCTGTTGCAAGACTGCCATACCTGCCACTGGGTTTCAACCAGTGTTACCAGCATCACTGGCCTGTTGGCACGAGTGAAGCAGCCAAAGCAGCTCTTCACAGCTTCCGCACAGTCAGCAAGAGAGGCCTTCTCCCCACAGTCCCAACAGAACAGGCTGAGTAAGAATCCCAAGCCAAGACAGAAATTCCTCTCTGCCATCCCTAGCCTGCACCACTCACAGATCTGAGGTAGAAATCAGCAACAGCTGGACACTGCCCTTCAGCCATCCCCACCCACTGCTTTACCTGGAGAGGATGTAGCTGTTCCAGCTGAGGGACCCCACACGGGAAGAATGGCTGGTCATATTTCGGAGACGTTTCTGCTGCTGTATGTCCCATAGCTAGAGAGGCAGAGCAATAAGTTCTCCAGAGGATGAGGAAACCCAGCCCTGTTGTTCTGCCCTAGGAACCTCACTGCATAGACTCTGGCATTCAGCCTTGTCAGTATGGGAGCAGAGATCAATTTGTATCTCATGCCTACAGAACAGAAAGTAACTCCAGGTGTCAGAAAAACCCAAAACCAAACTCTGCCTCACTGCTGCAGTTGGTCACTGGCCGTGGCTGGATGTGGACACTTCCACCCCACACCAGTCAAGACAAGTCAGAGTGCATTGCATCCTTCTTCTGCTAGCCAAGCCTTTGTCCCAAGGCCCCACAGCTCCAGCAATCCCTAGACTAGACAACACCTCTAGTTTTACTCCTGCACTCACCTGGACCTCAGCATTACTTGTGCCAACAGCAAGGTAATTTCCTTCTTTAATCCATGACACAGAGGAAACATAATCATCTGGATGCTCCATCTGCAGCAGCTGGATAATCTCCCCAGAGGTGTGATTCCACAGATAGACGGAGTTGTCCAGAGCCACTGCCAGGAAGTTCTGAGAGCTCCAGTCAATGAGATTCAGATCTACAATTTGGAAGAGCAATGCAGGTCACACTGTGCCTACCTGGAGAGCCCTGCTCTTCACCAGTGCTGATGCCAGATCTTCCACCCACACCAGGTACATGTGCACACACACACATACAGGTAAGGGGCAGCCTCTGGGTGTCACCATGCCCAGCTAGCAGTGTCAGGTAGCCCTGATCCAAGTCACCTACACAGCACTCTGGACTACTGTTCCTCTAAGGCTACACAGGGACACTCCAGAAGTGGTCCGTGCCAGCCTGGGTGCGTAAGATACTGAAACAGCCCAGTTAGAGCTCCGGTTCCTTGGACCACACCATCCTAGGAACTGCACTCCAGTGCAGTCAGTGATGATGTCAGTGCCCAGCACTCAACATCGCAGCCTACTTACAATAGTCATTGCGGATCTCTGGCGCGTCTAGGATCCGGTCTGGCATTGAGGGAATGTATCTGCCATTCTTCCTGCTGGATCCAGGTGTCGCTTTCTGACTGTAGAGCACTTTCAGGTTATTCTGATAGCCTGCATGCAGAGGAACAGGTTTGTTAACCTGAGTTACTGTTTCCTCCCAGCTGAGTACTGCTCACCCAACTAGAAATCCCTTCCAGTGAAAATAAAGTCCTAAGAGAAGAGATGCATTCAGAAGAGCGCAGTGTGCTAACATCACTGGCAGTATGAACTGCTGAACCAGAGCGAGTTCCGATTCCCTAATTCACAGGGACAAGTTTAACTGACAAGCACTTGGTTTTCTGTATCCTATTACGTTTAGTGACAGTTAAGCTACAAAGTGCACAGCAGAGAGTTTGAAGCTTTTGCAGACCTCAGGAAGGTTTGCCACCTGCAGTACAAGTGAAAAACTGTCAGTCATTTTAACTTTTGTAAATAAATTCACTGTAGCTGTTATGCAGCCCCTCAACCTCAGGAAACCTAAGGAGGGAGACTCCAGTGTGCATAGGAGCTCTGAGAAGAAGCCAGTTGATCTCTCCCATGTCCACACACAGGGCCTCTGTGTTGCTGTTGCCCTGTCCAGATCACTCCAGCTGAGTCAACTCACACAGATCCTGTCTCATACCTTCCGGAGCATTCTGTGGCTTTCCACTGAGGCGGAGGATCTTTGCCTCTTCTATATCAAAGCCATTCAGATTCACTGCCCAGGCTTTCTGTTGCTCCTACAGAGACAAACCACCCTCAGTGAGATGCATTTGAAACACAAAGCCCATGCTGCACTTAAAACTGCAGCTGGCAGAGCATACACCTAAGCCCCCTTCTCCTAGAATCAGGTGGTATACAGCTGTGCTGTGGGAGTCAGCTACAGACAGGCAGGTCAAAGTAATTTTTCTTCAGACATTGGCACACTGTCCTGCTCACATTTTCATACAGAAGAGTGGCAAATTCATTGTCTCATTGCTAGTGGGGAAAGCCACAGCCACAAGGGACCAAATGCTTCATAAACAGATTTCAGGACACAGTGTACACATTCCAGAATAGCTACCACCAGCAGTTTCACTGTGCACAGGCTCACAGCTTTGTGTCTCTGTAGCCTGCTATATTTTGAAGCCTCATTAGCCCAAAGTTGAATTTTACTACCAGAAGCAGCACAGCCTAGAGTGAGTGGAAGCAGAGGTGTAAGGCTCTATGCTTTTCCCTGTGCCTAGGGAAACATCCCTACAGAGCAGCTATGCTCAGGCTCCGGTAGCTGTGTACCTGTTCTGTTCGCAGGCTCTACAGCTTCCACATCATCCCAGGCTCCTGAAGCCCAGAGCTGGAAGTAGTGATGGCTGGGGCTGTCAGCCCCATACGCCCACTTAATAGAACTTACAGTTTCCTTCTCTGTAAAAGGGCAAGAAGGATTAGGTGTTCAGTAGTGATCATCGTAGTAATTGTAACTTTGCAACATGCTCACCTTCTTGGTAGGGGACTCCTCAGCAGGGTCATTCTCTTTGGTTAGGAGGAAATTCGCCATCTCCATGTGCATAGTGCTGCGGTTGGGAATGTAGCGATCCCCCCCAGCCTTTGTTGGGGTGCTCTGGATTTTGGACCCAGATTTACCTGCATTCACATGCATAAATATTGTTTTACAGCTATTTAACAGCCTGTATTCGAGCTTTCAAGAGGCAGCAAACCCAGCACTCTTTCACATCACACCTACCAGACAAGTTCCAGACAAGCAGGACTCAGCTCATGCCATCCCATCACAACTAACTCATATTTCTGCCCCCTCCCCATACAATGGCACTAAGCTCTGGTTAGGGTCTGCCAGGAGACAACTCCTTGGGTCTAGTGCAACAATTCCAGAGTTCACAGATGCAAAAATACCATTACAGCATGTAAAGCTGTCAGCAGACAGTCCTACCCACACTTGTCCCAACACACAGCTGCACCAGCAAGGCTGAGCTGCGGGGTCAGCAGTTCACCCAGCCCCAGTGCACAGAGCTCTGCCCACCTTATGCTGGGGAGGAGAACGTGGGTGACTCCCAGGAGCCAGGCAGTGTAGCCTGCCTCCTCCTGCCTGACCAGCAGGCCGGCTAGAGCAGCCTGACACGAAGCCCAGAGCCCCACGGCTACAGGCGAGCAGCCCGGGCGACGCTCCCCCCACCCAACCTATGCCACCGGTCGTCACCGCCGCTCACCGGGTGTCCTGGG